CCCCAGTCCCCTGTGTATCCAAACAGGAAAGAACTGGTTCCAAGCCCTGGTAAAGACTCAAACTCCAGTTTCTGGCTTCATTACATACCCCAATGAAAGCTCTTAAGTTTCCATGATTTGTTAAAGTGGTTTAAGACTAGAGAGACAACTTGAAAATAGTTAAGCAGGGGTAAGTTATGCTAGAAAAATGAAAAATTTTCTACTTAGCTAATTTTCTCATTTTTATTGAAGGTCTCCATGATTTGTTCAAGTAGTTAAAGACTTGAAAGACAACTTCAAAGTTCTTATGCAGGTGTAACTCATGCTAGAAAAATTAAGGTTTCTACTTACCTAATGTTTTCATTTTTACTTTGTCCCTCATCACTCTAAAATACAAATGAACCTCAATTTTAAGGAGAAAGGATAAGGGTCAGCTAAGGATGTGAATAAAAGATCATTGAAAAGAGGCCGTCCCTGATGATGATTGGGTGCAAGTCCTGGAAGGGCTGGCTGCCTTCCGGGGTTGCCAAGCAACAAGTATAAACAGAAGTGGCAGGAACATGGCCACAAACTACAGTGCCAACCAGGTAAGTCCTCTTTCTCCATCTCTTCGCGGTTTAATTTTGGCTTCCAGCTCTACCTTACATGACTTAACCTTCATGTGAGATTCTAACCGCTGAATTGCTTATCAGAGAGTGGGGTAAGGTAGCATTTCTACTCCGCAGAGTATGGAGTGCCCACAGACTAGCATTTCTACTCCGCAGAGTATGGAGTGCCCACAGACTCTGGGTGGAGTTTGTTGGGTTTAAACCAGAGGTCAGCAAATCAGTTTCCATAAAAGGTCAGAGAGAAAATATTTGAGGCTTCATAAGTCAGCGACAAAAATCAGATATAATGTATTGTAGGGGTTATCATGTTCACCTCATAAAAGATCCCCAGTTCGAAACTGAGTTGTTGTTAAGTGCCGCTGAGTCAGTTCTGACCCATAGTAATTCTGTATAGGGTTTCCAAGGAGTGACCTTGAACCAGTGATCTTGTGGCTCAAACTGACTTTGCAATCCAGTACATTAGTGCACAACACCAAACCAGAACTTGAAACTAGGTAGAAACAGTAAATGTATCCTTTTTTGGAGTCCTGGTGTGGTGCTGTAGGAATAGCATAGGACTGCTAACCATAGGATGGGAGTCCTGGTGTGGCGCTGTGGGCTAATACGCTAGACTGAAAGTTGGTTCGATTCGCAAGGTTGGTGGTTCAAGCTCACCAGCCACTCCTTGGAAACCCTATACAGGGTTGCTATGGGTCAGAACTGACTGGCGGCACTTAATAAGCTAACCACAAGGTTGGTGGTTCCAACTCACCAGCTGCTCCTCAGAAACCCTATACAGGGTCACTATGAGTCAGAACTGACTCCATGGCACTTAACAAAAACAATATAACAAGAGAAAACAAATGTCTGTGAAATATTTTTTCACAAGATACAAAATAGTATAATAACTGAGTGTAATTTTTTATGTTAAGTGCCATCAAGTCGATTCCAACCCATAGTGACCCTGTATACGGTTTCCAAGGAGCAGCTGGTAAGCTTGAACCACCAACCTTGCAGTTCAAACAACTTTGCAGTCTGATGCACTAACCCACAGCGCCACACCTGGACTCCAATATATATATATATTTATATGTTGTTGTTGTTATGTGCTGTGGAGTTGGTTCCGACCCATAGCGACCCTGTACAGGGTTTCCGAGGCTGTATGAAAATCTTTACGGGAGCAGAAAGCCTCATCTTTCTCCCGTGGAACAGGTGGTAGTTTCGAACTGCTGATCTTAAGGTTCGCAGCCCAATTCATAACCACTACGCTACCAGAGCTCCTTATATATTTATATAATACAGCTCAAATAATGAATAGAAGGAAAATCTTTTGGGGGATAGAGAACATTTTGCTTAATTGATATTCAAAGTTAAGTGTTGCCTTTCTTCCAGACAACTGAAAATTCTAAATTATAAAAACAAATTTGCTCACTGGCCATCCAAAAACAAACAGCAGCATGGGTATGGTCCTTAGGCCATAGTTTGCAGGTCTCTGGCCAAGACCAACACTGTTCAATAAAACAATAAGGTGAGCTACAAATGTAACTTAAAATTTTCTAGTAGCCACATGAAAAAAAAAAAGAAAAGAAATTAAAATGTACTAAATTTAACCCAGTATATCCAAAATGAAATCTGGTGTGGTGCTGTTGGTTAATGCGCTGGGCTGCAAAGTACGTTTGAATAGCAAGGTCGGCAGTTCAAGGTCACCAGCTACTCCTAGGAAACCCATACAGGGTCACTATGGGGCGGAACCAACTATACGACACTTAACAAGTCTTTAAAATCTAGTATATGTTTTACACTGAAAAAGTACCTCTTTCAACCAGTCACATATCAGCTGCTGAATTGTCACATGTGGCTACCATATTGGACACTGTAACTCTAGAACAAATGACTCCTTTCTATAGTGAGTTAAAGTCTAGCATGGTTGTTCATGTCTTTGGTCTTCCAATCTAAAATCTGTTCAATCCTGGGTTGTGGCTCTAATCCTCACAGGGTTTCTTAACTTTCTCTTCACAGTATGAAAAAGGTTTCTCACCCAAATATCTGCAGAATTGGTCCCCTGCCAAGCCAACAAAAGAGGTATTGAGTGCATCCACAAGGCCAGTTTCTCATTATTTATGTCATGCTCTCAAAAACTTCCTGGGGCAAAACTCCTTTTAGTCTTCTAAAACTTCCTCCTCTCTAGAGCTTTGGTAGCCTATTGGTTACGAATTGGGCTGCGAATCACAAGGGCAGCAGTTCAAAACTACCAGCTGTTCCATGGGAGAAAGATAAGGCTTTCTGCTCCTTTAAGATTTACAGCCTCAGAAACCCTGTGAGTCAGAACCGACTCCACGGCATATAACAACAACAAAGTCCCGATTGAAAACTTTTCATTTTGTCTAGATGGGTCTGGTGAAAAGAGACGGATAGGATTCTTAAGATTCAATAGTAAGAAATTGTTATCGTGACTAATTGCAACCATCACAACTGTAAACGTAGAAGTTTTGTAACAAAAATGCGGGAGTAGTTCATCTTACAGTCCAGAAACAGCCTAGGACTACCGAGAGAGAAGAGCACAAGCGGAATGTGGGACCTTATCCAGAGAAGCAGTGACACCAGAGATGGAGGCAGAGATGAGGACATGGAGAAAGGGAGCACCTGAGGACTCTGGACTCATGGAAAGAGAGGGACTGGGTGCTGGTGGCAAGGAGGCAGGCTTGCAGAATGTGCCCTTTGGTTGTTTAAATTGTTATATATTCCTGAGTGTTTCTGAATACACGCCCCCCCCCCAAATTCCTCCTCTCTCCCTCCATTTAACTCTGTTTTCACAATTATTATTCTCTTTTATCTCTACCCCAGAGTATCTCTTCTCATGAAGGCTACACTCAGATTATCGCCAATGACCGTGGTCATCTGTTGCCTTCAGTGCCTCGCTCCAAGGTGAGGTGCCACGTCCATTCCTATCAACAAAGATAAAAAATTGAGGCACAGAACTGGGGCAACAGAGGGGTAAATTTGCACTATCCCACAGCCCCTATCTGAAAAACTAAAGTTCAATCTATTTCATGTTGCACATGAGTGCCTCCAAACTTTTGGTCAGTTTATCCAAGGCAGAATTATGTTTAGCACTAGAAATCTTCAAACTGATAAGTCATCTATAGAAAGACAGTGCCCTCAGAAGATATTTATGCAGTAGATATAATAACTTTGTCAAGCTGAGCCTAAGGATATGACATTAAGCAAGCAGAGGGAAGGGGATGAAATATTAGGGGACCCTAGATGAGGGAGGGGAAGAGGAATGAGTTAGGAGATTACATTTCAGTCTTGTTTCATTACCGTGCATTCCCAAAGGTAAAGGTTGGAAATCAGAACACTAGTCAGCGACTGGGAGTGAGAAGCTATGTCTTTTTACTTTTAGGCAAGTCCTTGGGGTTCCTTCATGGGCACCTGGCAAATGCCTCTGAAGATACCCCCTGCTCGGGTGACTCTGACCTCCCGTACAATGGCTGGTGCTGCCTCCCTCACCAACTGGGTACAGAAAAATCCTGATTTGCTCAAGGCCTCTAATGGAATACGTCCTGAAATCTTAGGCAAGGTATCTACTCCTCCCAAGTAACCACAAATCCTATTATCTCAACTTCTTTTCAATCTCAAAATTGCTTGTTGTTATACTACCACTATTCCAGCAGGGGGAACTTCTAACCAACTTTGTCTTATCCATTCTAATTGCTAATCACCTTCTGAGGCCTAAAGGACAAAATGATGTAATCTCAAAATGTACAGTTGTTGGAGTGCCTTCAAGTAGACTCTGACTCATAGTAATCCTCTATGTCAGAGCAGAACTGCTCACAGTGTGGCGCTGTAGGATAACCACAGGACTTCTAACTGCAAGGTTGGTGGTTCAAACCCACCAACCGCTCCTTGGAAACCCTGTACAGGGTTGCTTAGAATTGGAACTGACTTGATGGCACTTAGAAAGCAACAATATTAATGGGAGTGGTTAGTGGGTTTGAACATTTCTATCAGCAGCTAAGTTTGTTGTTGTTAAGTGCTGTTGAGTCAGTTTGACTCACAGTAAACCTGTATTAGGGTTTCCGAGGATAGCTGGTGGGTTTGAACTATCAACTTTGTGGTTAGCAGTCCAGTACTGATCCTACAGCACCAGAACTCCTTAGGTGAATCACATTTTATGTGAAACATGACCTTTTTTGCCCATGGTATGGCAGAAAAGAAAGTTAGAATTCTGAGATGGCCTGGGAACAATCTGGAATTGACCAGAAACATAACTGTTTTATCCATTCCACTCTTCACAGCCCCATGATCCAGATAGTCAGAAGAAACTCAGTAAGAAGACTGTACAACAAGCACCACATACAACCATAATTCCTAACTCCACACCCACAGGCTGCAATTCCCCTCAGCAAGTGCAAAGCTCACACCCCTCTGCAGGTCACACTCCAGCTCTCCAAAACTCACCCAACTCTCCTAAGAGGCCACCATGTACACCGGAACACTCAGAAGGTCCTGATCTAGCTGAGATCCCAAAATATGAAACTGGAACTCAAGAAGAGACTAAGGGCCACACTGAGAAAACCTGTCTCCAGACCGAGTAAAGTATGCAGGAATGTGAAATAGGGAAATTATGGGATGGGAGTAAAGACAAATTTAGAAAATAAACATTGTTGAATCTTCTACTGATCTGGATTTTCTCTTTCTGTTTTAGCTGGCTCTGGTAACCCATAACTAGAAGGAAGGTTGAAAGGAATAGAGCAAGGATTGCGTTAGTTATACTGTGTTTGAAAAATGATCAAAATGAAGTCAATGTGAATCATAATAAAATGAAAGAACCTCAGAAAAACAGGCCCCTCTACACTTTTCCCATTTTCATCTTGGGCTTGAGATCCAACTTTGAAAAGGAAATGTTTCCATTTTCAGAGCTATCTGTACACAACCTCATGAAGGGACATGACCTTGGAGAAGAGCATGCGCAACTTCAAAGGCTGAAGTGTAATTGTTTAGTTGTTGTTATGTGCTGTTAAATTGGTTCAGACCCTGTACATGGCTTCCAAGGAGTGGCTGGTAAACTTGAACTGCCAACTTTGCAGTTCAAATGATTTTGCAGTCTAGCGCATTAACCCACAGCGCCACACCAGGTCTTCTAGAGTGTTCCAGAATTGTTCAGTAGAGCTTGTTTATACATTTATGGAGAAGGTAGAGAAGAAAAGATGGGAGAAAGTCAAAGTAATAGCACTATTCTAATCTAAGACGACTTCATAACTAACTCATGACAGAATAAATTTGGAAAACAAACTGGAAACAGTTACCGAAAGCAGAACTCAAGTAAAAGTAAAAATACAGTTTGCAAACTGAAGATACCTAAGTGACAGGAGGCTAGCAAAGCAAAACAAAGGGAGACAGTAGGTAGGAATTTAGGAGCTCTGGTTGTGTAGTGGATTATGAGCTGAGCTACTAACCTGGAGGTCAGCAGTTAGAATCTACCAGTTGGTCTGTAGGAAAAAGAGGGGCTTTCTGCTCTCGTAAAGGTTTACAGCCTCACAAACCCTGTACAGGGTTGCTATGAGTCTGAACTGACTCCACCGCACATCATCACCACCACCGCCACCAACCACCATAATGACTGTTCTGCCACTCCCCTTCTACCACCAATCACCTGAATGGTGAGCAGACACCAAACAGGTCAAGAAGTCTCCTATACATTTCTCAGCCTCTGACATCTCTTTATCATTGACCCCATTCTGAATCTAATAAATTTAATTATCTTGCCAAACCTTTCCCAGTCTTAGTATCAAAGTGTTCTCTCATGAACACTTACTTGTTCCTCACTCCGAGGACAAAAAGTACACATAACAGCTGGAGGAGGGCTATAAAGATTTCCTGGAACCAGTCTAGCTAAAAAGAAGAAAATAAGTAATCTTAAGTAACAAGACCAAAGACTGTTCTGGAGATGGGAGGAAGATAATAAGGCAACAGATGTCCTACTGTCTTAGCTAAAGTAAGGTCTTCTTCTACAAGTGATCCTAGCTGCAGTAACTGTTACCACTCTCCAGTTCAAAATTAAACCAAAATGGCGAACAACTCAAAGTGACAAACAAGATAGATCTGTCAAACCAAAGTTCCCAAAGACTATCCAAACAGTAGTCCTACCAAGTGAGTTAGGGAACCAGAAGCTTGGCCCATATGGATTATGAAATCAGTAAAATTTCTCATTCAATTATAAATTTTTGCCAGGTTTTCAACCATCCTTTCCTTTTTTCTTAAATCTCTACTCTCCTTTCTCTCCACATATACATCTTAGCTAATAATCCCTTAATTTAACACTTCCACTGGTTCTCTGCCTCTCTCATTGGAACATAATTTACTGAAGAGTGCAATGAGGTTGCTCATAGTCAGTCTTAAAAGGGATTTTGGACTCTATTAGTAACCCCAAAGCTCTCCACATGCTTAACCTCCTTTTTCTTACACCTTCCTTCTCTGAGGCTTTTATGTGATATTTAAATCTCTAGCTACTTCTACTTGACACCCTGAAGATTTTTCCAGCGATCAATGGCAGGACAAACTTTCCCTCCTGGGAAAGGTCAGATTAGGATGTAAATGTCTGAGACCGGAGGGAGGCAGAGGAACTGGCTCCCCTACAATTGCCATTCTCCCAGTTTCTCTAGATTTTAAGGAGAGTCAAAGACAAAATGAGTATTTTAATTTTGTTTCATAAAAATATGTCACATGAACATGGATTAGAAAACATGACACAGAGAAGCTTGTTTTCCTGGGAATGCAAGGAAAAATTCTTAATATGTCCAATGACAATGTTCAATGGATCTTCCTCTTGAATCAAAGGCTGTAAATGGCTGTATGTCCTCCCCACAAAGTACCTGCTCCCAGAGTCAATTTTATCTCCCTCTAGCTGGGACAAGCTAATTTCTACCACCTCCACCCTCTTCTTTCAGTTACAAAGTGTGGGTGCTAAAGACCCTGGGCTCTGACCAATGAACAGAATTGTCCTTTAAGCCAGCAACCCACAGGCAGTGCCACCCAAAGCCCTTCTCCCAACTCCCAGGGCAGAGGCCACAAAGCTGGCATTGTTTCTACTGTCTCAGGAAGAAGGAGCCAAAAGCTGACCCTCAGCACAAATCAAAGTCCAATATGAAAAGGGAGGCTTTTTCTTTCTTTCTTTCTTTCTTTCTTTTTTTCTTTTTTTTTGCAGCCATTCCATCTTTAGAAACAAAGGAAAACCAGAACACTTTTCCATTCTTTTGATTTTACAAAGTTCTGAGCTTCAAGGAGATTTGCAAGCACAATAGGGTTTAATCAAATCATGAGAACTTTGCCCTGGCTTGAGCTATTAATATTAAGAAAGGACAATGTGATGATTTGTAGTAAGATGTTGAGAACCTCAGCTCTTCACATGGCTGCCAGTCCTACAGAGGACAATACAGTGAGAACCAAGACAACTACTCCAGACTGGTACAGCTGGGGAATCTTCAGGCCTTTTCCTAGGTCCCACATCTGTAAAACAGAAAATAAAAAAAAATAATCAGGGTCCTAGTCACTTTCCTAGCTCATTTCTCAGAAAGGAATTCCAACTAGTTAGTTAAATAACTCCTTTCAGCAGAATTCCGGAGAAAAAACACTTTGATCCTTATGCCCCACCTTCTTGTTAAGTGACACCGAGTGGGTTCTGACTCATAGTTATCATGCATAGGGTTTCCAAAGAGTGGCTGGTGGGTTTGAACCACCGACCTTGTGGCTAGCTGTATAGTGTCTATCCTACTGCATCACAGTTAATCCTTCTCAAAACCCACAACATGATACTTACCACCCACTTATCCCAAGGACAGAAGAGGTACCCTTAGCCCCTATATACAAAAGCTACCAGACTAGATAGACCTTTCCCCATGACACTATATCCTCATCAATGTCTCCCAAAGTATATTCCTCCAAATTCTTGATCCTCAGAATGTTAAAAGGCATTAACTGTATGAGGAAAAAAAGCTGTGAGGTCAAATAAATTTGGTAAACACTTAACTGTAAGATTTTTCAGAAAATTTACTGAGAAAAGAAATCTATTTTAATTTAGAACCCTGTAGACAGAAGTTTCATGAAATAATAAACAATATTTACCATCATTTTGTATGCTGTACATTCTGTATTTTTCTTCTACTTAACTTTGTTATTGTTAGCAACTCACTAACTTGAATTTTCACCCACTGGGTCAAAATCTACAATTTTAAAAACATATATCTAAATTCTCTTATGCTGGAGGGATTTATAAAAACATAGGAGTCCTGGTGTGGTGCTGTAGGATAAGCACAGGACTACTGACCCCAAGGTCAGTGGTTCAAACCCACCAGCCACTCCTCGGACACCCCATACAAGGTTTTATGAATTGGAATCAACTCAACAACACTTAACAACAGGGATATTAACAATATAATATGAAGTCACTAAAAAATCCCCTAGGGCAAAAAATAGGTCTTGACAATTTCCACACACATACCCACAATCTGATTGTAAAACTGACTACATTAGGAGTCACTTCAGAGAAAAGTTGGAGACCCCAGAAAAAAAACAAGAGGAGAAGGTACCCCCAGCTCAACATTCAAATAACTCCTATCTAGGAGCTCTGATAACGCAGTGGTTATGAGTCGGGCTGTTAACCTCACGGTCAGCAGTTTGAAACTACCAGCTGTTATCCAGGAAAAAGATGAGGCTTTCTGCTCCCATAAAGATTTCAGCCTCAGAAACCTTACGCAGGGTCACTATGAGTTGGAACTGACTCCATAGCATACCACCATCTGACCAGATTAGGAGTCAAGTGGATTCTACAAAGAGCTGTTCTGTGTATATGTTGTTGCTAGGTGCCATCGAGTTGGTAGCGACTCACAGCGACCTTATGCACAGCAAAACGAAACACTGCCCGATCCTGGGCCAACCTCACTACTACTGTTGCCACGCTTGAGCCCATTGATGCTGCTGCCACTTTGTCAATCCATCTCGCTGGGGGTCTTCCTCTTTTTCTCTGACCCTCCACCCTACCAAACATGATATCCTTCTCCAGCGACAGGTTCCTCCTGACAATATGTCTGAAGTATGAGAGATGAAGTTTGGCCATCTTGGCCTCCAAGGAGCACTCTGGCTGCACTTCTTCCTATACAGATCTGTTGGTTCTTTTGGCAGCCCATGGCACTTTCAATATTCTCCTCCAACACCATGAATCAAAAGCATCAATTCTTCTTATGGTCTTTCTTATTCACTGTCCAGCATATGAGGTTATTGAAAATACCATGGCTTGGGTCAGGCGCACCTTAGTCCTCAAGCTGATATCCTTGCTCTTCAACACTTTAAAAAGTGCAGCAGATTTGCCTAATGCAATACGTTCTTTGAGTTCTTGACTGCTGCTTCCTTGAATATTGATAGTCGATCCAAGAAGCATGAAGTCCTTGACAACTTCAATTTTTTCCTCCGTTGATAAGATTGTTGTTTATTGGTCCAATGGTAAGGATTTTTGTTTTCTTTACATTGAGATGCAATCCATACTGAAGGCTGTGCTCTTTGATCTTCATCTAAATATTTTAAGTCCTCTTCACTTTCAGCAAGCATTCTCTACCACCACCACCACCACCCAGTAGGACTGTCTTTTTTGTACACCATACCAATGTAAGGAGCTCTGGTAGCGTAGTGGTTACGAATCAGGCTGCGAACTGCAAGGTCAACAGTTTGAAACTACCAGCTATTCCACGGGAGAAAGATTTACAGCCTTGGAAACCCTGTACAGGGCCACTATGAGTTGGAACCAACTCCACGGTACATAACAACAACAACAACATACCAATGTGGCGCCGTGGGTTAATGTGCTGGACTGCAAAGTTGGTTTGAACTGCAAAATTGGGGGTTCAAGCTCACTAGCCGCTCCTCAGAAACCCTATTCAGGGTCACTATGGGTTGGAACTGATTCAATGACACTTAACAACATCTATATACACAGAACTTCATATAACCCAGCTTCTCTCTAGGATGCCACAGACCCTATCACTTCTTTTACATCAACTCCACTCTCCTCCAGATTAGATCTTTAATAAGGCAACTGTCATGCTCAGAAGCCAACAACTATGTCAGAGGGAACAGACAAAAGTCCTGACTGACACTCAGAGCCAGTACTTGTTAAGTGCCATCAAGTTTGCCATCTAGTCGGTTCTGACTCATAGCAACCCTTTATTGGGTTTCTGAAGAGCAGCTGGTGGGTTTGAACCACTGACTTTGGGGTTGGCAGTCCACTGCTTATTCTACAGCACTAATTGCATCAGGTTTTTGTTGTTGTTGTTTAGTGCTGTGGAGTCAGTTGTGACTCACAAGACCCTGTGTAGGGTTTCCAAGGAGCAGCTGGTTATGGTCAGAAGGAAGAATAATAGCAGATTTAAGAAAAAACCTTTAGTCTCCTCACCTCTCTTAATACAGATTGCAATTAGTGGCAGAAACCAGGAGCCAAATTTAGGCTGAGTTCTGGGATTCTGTAAAAGTTCCCTTCCCCTGGCCCTTACTATGGAGATAAAAAGCCAATGGTTGGCAAGTTGTCCCCAGAGCCAGGATGTGAATAGAGGAAGCTGATCAGTTGATTTTCATTAGAAAGCTTTGTTCTGTGGAATAAGAAGTCATTAATGGAAATGCCCTCCATCTCCACCTTCTTCCCCTCAGGGGAGTGAAAAGTCATTTTATATCAAATTGAACACTGCTCCAAGGAACAGTTGATAGATACACATAATTAAATAGGCTGTTTAGTCTCTCACTTTTCTGATTATATTACACTGTATATTGCTGCTGTTGATAAATGCCCTCTAGTTGGTTCCACTCACAGTGAGCCTATATAGGGTTTCTGAGAAGCAGCTGATGGGTTTGAACTGCTGACCTTGTGGTTAGCAGTCTAGTGCTCATCCTGCAGGATCCCAAACTATCTATTGGACCAGACTGAAATTCAGAAAGCACTTGTCTCTAGTCTTTGATGTAGAAGTAGTAAAAGGTCAAATTAAGGCATGTGGTAGAGTATAAAATCTGAAGGCTTTTTGCCTGTGAAAGACTCCTACCACATAGAGCTTAATTCCAACTTGTGCCTGGGTTTAAGTGCTCAGATGCCAATTTTTCTAGAGTACCTCATGCATCTTGACAGCGGAAATGCCAGAGTTAGAAACAGAATATATTTTAAAGGAACTTTTGGGCCAATTCTCCTAGTCACCTTTCATAGGAACATTCCTGGACATAGACCTTAATGGTCACATGGTTGTGATGTCACACTCTGAGAGACACAGAGACAGCAAAGCTTTCTTATCTGCAAGAATTCCCTCCCTGATTTTCGTAGGCCTGGCATGCGTATGTGATGTATGGTTGCTGCCTGTCAGTCATGCTTGTGGGAAAGATTCCTTTGTTCCCTATGCCCTATAAAATACATAGAGATAGAACTTTGGAAACTCATCATGGTGTCTACGATTTCCCTAACCCGGGTGATCTATGGTTTGTCTTTGTCTTGTGTTTACTCTTAAAACTTAATAAAAAGTCTGTAGAATATTTATTTATATCATTGAAAAAAGGGTCTCTTTTCTTCCTATGTCAGGCAAAAACATCCAATTGACAAATGACTCAGGTTCAGAGGCAACTCAATATTCTAGTACTCAGTTTCTGTTAAAGTTGGTTTCATTCCCTCCAACAGCTTTTAAAAAAAAGAAAATCAAACAAGAAATAGTTCATGCAATCAAATGTTATGATAACAAAAATTGATATATTTGATGCCTGAGATGGAGGCAGAGACAATGACGTGGAGAGATGGAGCAGCTGGGGACTTTAGATCCAGAGAGAGAGAGGGGCTGTGTGTTGACGTCCGGGGGGCAGGCTTGTAGGGTACACCCTTTGGTTGGTTGATGATGCATGGGGGGGATTGTAACCAGGGCAATGAAACAATATACGATAGGATGAATGTAAAACTAATGCTCCCCCACATAAACTATCACATAACTCACAATAAAACATTTAAAAATTTTTTTGATATATTTGACTCTAGCCAGAAAAGGCACTCCCATTTGCCAGAACTGTTAAACTGAAAACAGTAACCAGGTTAATCCTTAATGTACAGAACAGTACGCATACACTATTGTTGTGGTTGCTAAGTGCCGTCAAGTCGATTCTGACCCATAGCAACCCTGTCTAGGGTTTCGAAGGAGCAGCTAGTGAGCTTGAACCACCGACCTTGCAGCTCAAACGGCTTTTGCAGTCTGGTGCATTAACCCACAGTGCCACACCAGGACTCCACATATACACTATAGATAATAATTAAATAATAATAATTGTCCTACAAACATCCTCTTAAAATGGTTACAGTTTACAATGAGACCTTTGCCTACACTCACTTGGCTGTATTACCAGGTATATCACCAGCAGGCATGCCAAGGAATATACAGGGAGCCTTGGTTCTCTTTCCCTAAGAGGTCCCTGAGCAAAGGACCAGCACAGTTAACCATAAGCATGGCACTAAACTCAGACAGGAAGCCTTCCCAGCTTTCCCATTCCCCTTACCCAGAAAATGTGCAAATTACACAGTTAACTTACCAAGTGTCGAATTCCATTCCAGGTGTGATACATGAGAGGTGAGACAAGTGCAAACTTAGCTGTGTAGATCAATGCTGGACCCAGACTCAGGGACTTCACAAGTTCCAAATGAGACTCAAAGTTCCCAGGGATCAACAGGGCAGACAAGCCAAAAAGAGAGACTCCTGAGGAGAAAACAAGGTAGCCCATCATAACTGCCCATTAATTATAACTAATATACTACATAAAACTGGCTTCTATGAGAGCTCCCAGTATCTCACACAGTTCTGAACCATTTTGAAAAGTGGAAGATTTAAACTATTTGGGATCTGATCTTGAATTTGTCATACATTTAGGCTCATTATTCTTCATCTCAATTTCCCTCTGTAAAGATCTCAGCAGTCACATTAGTCCATCTTCATCATCATCTGAATGTATAATATATTAAAAAAAAAACTGACTCAAAATGGATCAGAATCCTAAATGTGAGAGCTAAAACTTTGAAACTCTAAGAGGAAAACATAGGGTTCTTTGATGCCTTGGAGAAGGTAACTGTTTCTCAGATATGGCACCAAGACTATGAGCAACAAAGAAAATATAGATAAATTGAAATTCATCAAAATTTAAAACACCTGTGTTAAAAAAAAAGTTTTTGCTTCAAATAATTCCACTGAGAAAGTAAAAAGACAACTTATAATGGGAGAAAATATTTGTAAATCATATGTCTTATAAGGGACTTGTATCCAGAACTCACAATCCAACAATAAAAGTAAACCCAACTAAACCTAGGTCCAGAGGGCAGGTACCTTCCTTCAGAGGAAGGTAGAATCTCCACTGAGTAGTATCCAATCTGTCTGGGTGGGACTGATGAAAGGAGATGGGGATAGCACTCATGTGTTACAATAGTGAATAACTGCTATCAGGACTGAATGTGAGAATTGGAAATGAAAGGTAAGACATTTTGGAGCAAAAGGAGGGGAGTGACTGACTTTGCAGGCCAGGAGCGGAGGTCCCTGGGGCCATCAAGGGAGAAGAGCGGAGTGCGGGACCCTACCCAGAGAAGAAGTGATGGCTGAGATGGAGGCAGAGAAGATGACGTGGAGAGATGGAGCGGTTGGGGACTCTAGAACCAGAGAGGGAGAGGGGCTGTGTGCTGATGACCAGGGGGCAGGCTTGCAGGGTATACCCTTTGGTTGGTTGATGATGCATAGAGGGGATTATAACCATGGCAATGTAACGACATACAATAGGATGAATGTAAAACTAATGTTCTTCCATGTAAACTAGCACATAATTCACAATAAAAGTTAAAAAAAAAAAAAATACAGAACAGTGCTGAAAATAAATTTCTTTATAGCTAAGAAATTTTTTTTAAAAATGTGCTGCTTCTATTCTTCACTGTCCAAAATGTGATAGAAAATTTTCAGTCCATATGTGAGAAGGGTTTATTAAAAACCACCACCACTGTTTCACCCTAGAGGTTGATGAAAACACTCGAGTGGACAAGAGAATCTGCTAAGAAAATGTGTTCTGTTTTCCTCTGGGTGAATGCCAGCCAAAGTATCCCCCACCGAGACCTTGCTTTCCAAATCTGTGGAGAGTCTGTCTTGTGTGCATTCCTGGGATGGAACATGGGGTTCTTTGCCCTCAGAGTTCCTGCTCAGCATAGCTTTTGCCTTCTGGTGTTTGAGGAGCTACAAACAAAATTATTTGCATCATAATAATAATAAAGTAAACCCAACTAAAAAAAATGGGCAAAGAATCTAAACAGTCATTCTCCAAGGAATATAGAAAAATAGTCAATGTTTTTGTTAAGTGCCTTCGAGTGAGTTCCAACTTATAGCAATCCTGTAAAGGGTTTTTAAGGAGTGGCTGGTGAGTTTGAACTGCCAACCTGCAGCTAACAGTCCAGTGCCTATATCACAGTGTAACATCATTAGCCATTATGGAAATGCATTAAAAATAAAATAAAATTAAAAACCATGAGAATGTGTCTGGTGAAAAGAGATGGGGATAAGATTCTTATGATTCAACAGTAAGTAATTGTTATCATGACTAATTGTGACTGTCACAATCGTAAAGGTAGAAGTTTTGTAACAAAAACGTGGGAGTAGTTAATCTTACAGTCCAGAAACAGAGGACCCTAGGACCATCAAGAG